GTATATTTTATACACCCAGGGTATTTATTTTTAATCATTGTGCAGCTGGGTTATTTTAAATCGGGGAGGGAAAAGGGGGTGGTGGTGGGGGGGGGAGGGGGATCAGTAATGCATGTGTAATAATATTCGCTACCTGTNAAAAAAAACACTACCTATTTGCCAATTGCTCCAGAAATGTAAGGCATCGGATTGTTTTTTGAACTCAGGTACGAATGGAAACTTTTCTCGACTTTACTGATCCTGACTCCCCCCTCTCTTTCTCTTTCTCTCTCTCTCTCTCTCTCTCTCTCACACACACACACACATGTTGGGACAAAAAAATAAAATAAATCTGCGTTGATGTGGATGCAGTTTTAAGCAGAATTACATGACATGACACAGAGATTCGCTTTGCGCTGCAGATACTATACAGAGTGAATGTTAAGTGGGTCAGTGGTCACCCATTCGAACAGGTCTGATTTCATTCGGTGGCACTGAAAGAACCCTTTCAAGGCTGTTTGTGCGGGGTTTTATTTTTTTTTGGGGGGGGGGATGAGAGGGGAGGGGGTGAAAAAAAAGATAAATGAAAACACCGTTCGCGTGTTTTGTTTATTCGAGAGTTTGCGGCGATTGAGCCGTGTGATGCTCTGCGTTAACTGATCCCAGTTTTTTAATATATATATATGCATATATATAATTCTGGAAAACATGGTTCTGGTGCAGCTCCAAAGTGCAGGTTGGGGGGAAAGCCTAAGCTCATTCAAACATACCAGTCTCCTAAAGCGTGGACTCGATCGAACTCCTTGAAAGGTTCAGAAATCATCTGAAATGTGCAGCTCTCTGTGCACTTCTCTGTGCGACTGCGAATTATTTCACAGCGCACTTTGCAGTTGTTGGACCTTTTCATTCGCACGGTTCAAAATTCACTTGAATGCGGTTTCAATCTGAAACCCAGTCTTTGTTTGTAGGCAGCGCAGACCAACACGAAATCTAATCTGAAAAGGGTTAACCTTTGCATCAAAAATGAAAGTAACGGCGTCGGTGATTGTAGGTGATGTTGGAATGTATTCCACAGTCGCAAGAACAGATCATACATATGCAGAACCAGCTCTGATTCTGTGCTTTCCTGCCCAGAAAAGGCTGCATTATTACATTTAGCGCTGGGGGCTGCCTGTGTTATGTTATTTATTGCCTGGTTTGGAAGCTGGACATGGTTGTTGAATGACGAGCAGCTTTACAAAAACCCAATCGAACCGATTCCTAAAGTTTCAATGCTTCCACCTTCAGCAGAGAGCCGCGACGAAAAGTATTTTCCTCCTTTGGAGATTGGATGTGGAGCAAAACAGCATATATTTTCTGAATAGTTAAATGAAACCTCCTTCCTCCCCGAGAAAGAGATGCAATGTTTATTTTTATGTAACATGATGTGATGATCTGCAATGGGACTTTGCAGTGTGCAGTGAAGTGAAGTGGACAGCAATGGTCCAGTTGCAGTACCTTCCTGAGCAAACACGGCCCTCCATAGGGCTCAAAGGGTTTGATTGCTTTTAAAAGCACATTTCCCCCCTCTCTCTGATTGCTGGGATATGTAAAGAAAAAGAATATTAATTTAGCCTCAATGACCCCGGCGGGGTTATCCGCCTTTTGCTGCAATCTTGACCAGAGGTTAGATTCACTGAACACTTGAAATGGGTCGGTTTAGCACAGGACGCCAAGTGCAGTCGTTTTAAAGTTGAAACGTCCCTGGTTTGGTCCTGATTAAAAACGTTTGTGCAGCACAGAGAGTGGCGTTAACTTGGCCTTGTTTGCATTTCTTTGCAGGGTTATTTTCATCCGTTTTAAAATTATTATTATTATTATTATTATTATCAAAGGTGTTCTGTTTTTCTCTCTCCCTTCTCCCTCTTCTTGTAAAATGCGTTCGAGTGTGAGTGTGTGTGTGTGTGTGTGTGTTGGGCTCTCACCAAATGTTTGCTGCTGCACAAAACAAAATCTGACGGCTGGGGTTTTATTTCGGGTTAGATCTTCCCATGTTATGCCGAGGATCCCGCTGTGGAGTCGTTTTACCTGCAAATAAGAGTGGTCCTACAGTGAGGCACAGTCTTGCCCACTGCATCCCACTCACTCCAATGCCCGCCTCGCACCCCAGCAAACAATTCCCAGATCGTGGTGGCAAGTTGATTTGCAAACAGCATTTCGGAGCAAAACAGAGCCAAATACATTTGAAAAAGACAACCTCGAACTGCAAACCCTTTACTGTTAGTCCGTCCCCACCCCCCACCCCTCAACACACACACACACACACACACCGCACACACACACACACGGGCAAAAATAGTGTTTGCACCCGTTAATATGCGTATGTTATGAGTCAGGGTGAATGGTGATGTCCACGGTTCTATATGTATTTATTGCTTCTATCGAAATATCGCCGACCACACCGCAAAAGCCAAACGTAACGATGGCAATTATTTTTTTTTGGACCCAATGAAATGCAAAAAATCTGTTTGAATGCATCCCCGATGAGCTAAATTTCTCAACTTAACACACACCCTGGGAAAACTGCAACCGAGTTCACCGAAAGAGCGTCCCGGTGTGTTGTCATCGGGATGAAGTTAACATTTAAACCGGTTTTATTAGCAGCAAATAAAGTCTTGCTGGAGAATACAGCTTTTTTTAAAAAAAAGTATTTTCACGTTTTTTATTTACAAAAAACGTGTCATTGACTGCAAGAACGAAGCGTGTGTGGGTATATTTTAACCAAGTAAGTGATTGAGTTGTAAACTGCACAGCATAAAACGATTGCTTTACCCCACTTATTGATAGTCGATGTTAATGGTAACATTCCTCAGTGGAAAACACAAAATAACTCAATCCTACGTGTCACAGAGCAATTGTCTAACCCCCCAAAAAAGGGGCGAAGAGCAATTATGGACAGTTGATGTCACACTGATGTTAAAATGTGCTGCATTTTTTTCATATTTCTTGCGATGAAGTTTGTGCACAGTCTGACAAGGATGCGCTGTGGTCGTGTGTTAAACCCAACCGATCTCTTTCATCGCGACCCTGTGATGTGGTCAGTTCCATTAGGCGCAAAAGTCCCCGAATTTATTTATCCTCTTCAATGAATCGAAGCCGATTCAAACTTAAAGCACCTTTGGACCAGGAGTTACAAAGACCCCGTTTTTTTTTTTGCACGTTTTCTCTCTCGCTTTTATTTCGCGCAAAAATGAAACCATGTTCAGGTCAGAAGAAATGCTGGTTTGCGCGTAGGGTGTTTTATTTTAAGTTGTATATATTTTGGGGGGCAAGCTCCACAAAACAGGAATGCAAACTCATGAAATATTTGTTGAACTAAAACCTGCGAAGTGCAAATTGATCGAGACGATTTGATGGACTTTTAACATTAACATCAGCAAAATGTCTTCCAACATTGGGCACCGAAACAAGATTAGGTGATGCGAACTGCCTTTTGCACATTAACTTCGAATTGGTACCTGTCAAATACTTGTGCAATCCTAAACCTCGGTGTGTTTCCTAATCAGTACAGTATAGTATAGTATAGTATAGTACAGACTACATTCCCAGAGCTGTGTCTATATACTGTCCTGAAGTGCTTTGTCATTCACAGCGAAGCTCAGCACCACAGATTGGCGCATTTCAGTACATGGTTTTAAATGCTTCAATCTTTCCACATATATGTTTCTGTTGTGGAGTGCAGTATCTGCAGAAGTGTTTCGACCCGAAACCATCAGCCTCTAAATAAAGCGATGTTCCCACTCCGATGAGCACGCTGTGTGCAACCCGTTCAGATGCACGGGCTGAGCAGCGTTGAAACGTAACGAATAGTCTTTGCGGGCAACTGAATCCCATCCCCTCGAAATCTCCAAAATGCATAAAAGCCTAAAAACCGTGCAAATTTAATTTTCACTGCACAGAAAGAAAAGAGAGCAAATCCGGACAGGCCCTTCTATTGACCTGCAAAACATCCCTTTCCCCCCCCCCCACCCCTCCCACCCCTCCACCACCCATGTGCAAACGAGGCTGTTCACAATCTTAAAATATTTAGAAACCAAGAGAGTTAAAAATCAGAATAAAAAAATAATAAAAGGATTATTAGAGGGCATTTTTTTTAAAAACAAAAAAAAAACCCCCACAGGTGCTGGCTGGTCGAACAGAAACTGACTGCCCAATGCAACAAAGATGTTTGTGGCAAAGTGCGGTGTGGGCAGCAGTTGTGCATGTGTGTGTATGTGTATGTGTGCATGTGTGTGTATGTGTGTGTGTATGTGGGTGTGTGTGTGTGTGCGTTGGTGGATCTGCTGCCCCCAGTCAGTCAGTCAGTCAGTCAGTGTGAGTGAGCGCATTTGTGTCAGTTTAGTGCACGTTACGTGCTCGGAGCTGACGCACAGACACCCAGAGACTGACTGACTGACTGACAGATGGACGGATGGTGATGGATGGATAACATTGACAGATGTGAGGGCGGATCCCGGGACTGGTTTGGACGTATAAGCTGACGATGGAGGCACTCCAGTGCAAAGCGGGTCTGCCTCGGTTAATGCACATAAATATATATATATACACATATACAGATGTATATATAATCTCTCTCCACGCACACAGCTCCGGCTGCAAACTCGAGAGGAGTGAGAGACCATCGCCGCGAAACAGAGGGAGACTGGAGTTGGGGAGGAACAGATCGCTGCCGACAGCACTCGGCACAACCCCCACCCCCCCACCCCCCCCACCGCAGCCGGTAAAACCCCGCAAACTTTTGATTCTCTTTACTTTTTTTTATTTTAAAAAAAACCCAAAACAAAAAACAAACACACAAAAAAAAAACACAAACCAGAACAGCACAGCACAGCACAGCGGCGGCGGCGCACTTTCCCTGCAGAGGAGGGAGGATGTGTGGGGGGGTGTGGGGGGGATTGGGAGGGTGGTGGTGGTGGTGGTGGTGGAATAATATTGCTAATAAATCATAACCGTAACGTGCAGAATGATGTTGAGCGACTCACCGATTCCGCACCAGTAACTCTCCATCTCCGGGGGTGGGGACGCGGGCGGACTGAGTGCGCACAGCCTCGGTGAAGTTTGGGCTGAGTGCGGTGACCACCAGCTTCCTCATGGCGCCGGGGACGGCGGAGGCTGTGAAGTCCATGAACTGCTGGGAGTAGGACATGTCAACTATACCGCGGCGAGGGACCGGGACCGGGACCGGGACCTGGACCGGGACAGCACACGGCGGCGCGGCGATCCGACAGGTCCAGCGGATGCCACACACCAGCTTTGCTGCTGTCGGGGAGAGACGGGCCATCAGCTATTTCTTTTTTTTTTGCTGCTGCTGTTGCACACACACACACACACACACACCTCTCTCTCTCTCTCTCTCTCTCACCCCACCCCCCCACAAGGAAAGGGCAAGAGATAACCCGGAACAAAGTTCAAGCACTGCCCTAAAATACTTAATGCACACAACACACACACATATATTAAAAAAAAAATTTTTTGGAGGAGGGGGGGGGGGGGGGGACTTTGGGTCGATTGCACCAACAGTTTTATGTTTTGTGCAACTTATTGCAGAGGGGAAGAATTGCTTATAGCAGACTTTTTTCTTAAAAAAAACACACACACGCGCACACACATTCACATCCTGAGACCCAAAAAAAAAGGAGGGAGGGGGGTGTGGGGTGGGGAAATTAACACAAAAAATAAGACAATTGTATGTGGTGATATTACTGGAGCAGAGGGGGAGAGAGAGAGAGAGAGAGAGATGGGGAGAGATCCTCCTCTTCCCGTACGAAATGTTCACTTCCTCAAGGTGTAACGAATCAATCTGGAGCTGAGCTGCAGCCACCAACCAAAAGTGGAGAGAGAGAGATCAATACATCAGATAAACTGTCCCCGAAGTTTAATCTCTGCACAAAATATCGATTGGGGGGCGGGGGGGTGGAGGGGTGAAAAAAAAAGAAAGTCAAGTCACTTGATTCAAGTCCAGATGCTCGTCCTCTCAACCTGTTCCATGGCTTTTAACACCCGACACCGATCTCGACAGATTCCCACAAATTACTTTAGCTGCAAAAGTTTTTTTTTGGTGTGTGTGTGTGTGTGTGTGTGTACCCCCCCCCACAGCATTAAATAAAACCACAAATCCGAAGACAAAGAGGGGGGGGGGGGGGGGATTTGCACGGACTTGTGTTTTATTTGCAGGTGGGAAAAGCCTGTTTTATATAACAACTGCTCGGAAATGCAAACATCTGAACGATTGCAGGGTCTTTAAATCTTTTTTTTACATTGCCAGCACAATTTTATTGGAGACCCCCTTGGTCTTGGAAACAGAGCAAAGGACCTACATCTGACGATTTGCACAAGGAACCGATGTTGAGTTACTTGTTGATCAGAGACAGCCACAGCAGCTCTCTGTCCCGGTGTGAGTGAGTGTGTGAGTGTGTGGGGTGGGGGGGGGAGTGGGGGGGGGGGGAGGGGGTAGCACAAGTTGGGACTCTTCCTGGGAAGAGCAAATAATCAGGTGGGAATACATATTGATTTACAAACAAACATACACGAGTATTTTAGTTGTCACAGTGTAGTTACATTTGGGATTGCAAAAAAAAACGAAACCCCTTTTTTTTGTTGTGGCAGTGACTTTGTGTCTGTGTGTAAAAAACAAAACAATTCTCCTGGGGGTGGGGGTGGGGGTAAAATAAAATTCTCCTGGGGGTGGGTGGGGGGGTTATTGGTGTGTGTGTGTAAGTAAAAATTCTCCTGGCGGTGTGTGTGTGTGTGTGGGGGGGAGGTCTGTTGGTGTTTATGTGTGTGTGTTGCAAGCATTGCATTGCACTGGTGTATGTGAGTGGGTGGGGGTTTGCCCAGGCCGGGGGGGGGGGGGGGGGGAGACTGCTGTATTGAGAGTCAGTCAGTCAGTGGCAGGCAGGGCACAGGCAGGGCAGGGCAGGGCACAGGCAGGCAGGCAGGGCGCAGGCAGGGCACAGGCAGACAGGCAGGCAGGCAGGGCACAGGCAGGCAGGCAGGCAGGGCACAGGCAAGGCAGGACAGGCAAGGCACAGGCAGGCAGGGCACAGGCAGGGTAGGGCACAGGCAGGCAGGCAGGGCACAGGCAGGCAGGGCACAGGCAGACAGGCAGGCAGGGCACAGGCAGGGTAGGGCACAGGCAGGCAGGCAGGGCACAGGCAGGGCACAGGCAGGGCAGGGCACAGGCAGGCAGGGCAGGGCACAGGCAGGCAGGCAGGGCACAGGCAGGGCCCAGGCAGGCAGGCAGGGCAGGGCACAGGCAGGCAGGGCAGGGCACAGGCAGGGCACAGGCAGGCAGGGCAGGGCACAGGCAGGGCAGGGCAGGGCAGGCAGGGCACAGGCAGGCAGGGCAGGGCAGGGCAGGGCACAGGCAGGGCAGGCAGGCAGTTCGATGGCTCTGTGCACAGTTGGGATGGCCTGGCCTGGTGGAGATGTGTGTATAGTGTATCTCCCCGGAGCCCCCGGAGTTTCACAAAAAAATGAAAAATAGTTCACGGCACTGCACTCCCTCTCACTCCCTCCCTCCCTCTCCCCCTCTCTCTCACTCACTCACTCACTCCCACTCACTCACTCACTCATTCATTCACTCACTCACTCACTCACCCACTCACTGCCTCCCTCCCTCCCTCTCCCTCACTCCCTCCCTCTGTGTGATAGGGATGGCTCTCCCTCGATTTGGCCACCACTGAATTAAGTAACTGAGGGGGAGTGAGACAGAGACTCAGACGGAGAGAGAGAGAGAGTGAGTGAGTGAGTGAGAGAGAGAAAAAAAAGCAGCAGAGGTGCCGCTGTGATACACAGTAACAGAGTGTGTGTCTGTCTATGCATATGAGGCAGTGACTGAAAGCCTCTCAGTCTGTGATATCTCCTGTCACTGAGGAGCTGAGGAGCGGCGGCGACTGACAAGATCCCCAAACCCCAACAGCTTCAACTCTTACACACACAGTGCACACACACATACACATATACACACACAGTGCACACACATATACACATACACACACACACAGAGTGCACACACACACATGTACACACACACACACACACACATATACACACAGTGCACACACACACACAACACTTTCATTGCAAGAAAACAACCCCACACATTTGCACACTACCCCCCCCCCCCCCCACCGCCACCCCCCTTCACCACCCCCATCTCTCTGCCCCCCCCCTCCTCCTCCCCCTCCCCACACCCCCCACCCCCCCTCCTCCCCCCCCCCCCCCCCCCCCACACCACCCCTCCTCCCTCTCTCTCTCCCCATTGCCTTCTTATCGGTCTGCATGAAAACACCGAGAATAAAAAGTAGTAACTCCGGAAACTCTTGGCTCGCAGCAGCAGCAGCAGCGGCGGCGGCGGCAGCAGCAGCAGCAACAGCGGCGGCTCAGCAGCAGCAGCAACAGCGGCGGCGGCGGCGGGGGCAGCAGTCAGCAGTATGCCGAGGAGGAAGCAGCAAGCTCCCAGGCGCTCTGCAGGTAACCCTCCTCTCCTCTCCTCCTCCTCTCCTCTCCTCTCCCCTCTCTCTGCTCCTTCTCCGCACTCACTTTTAATTCGATGCCTTTCCGCGCATGTTGTAAATTGCAAATGCAGCACTTGTGCGCGTATCTGTGTGTGTGTGTCTGTGTGTGTGTGTCTGTCTGTGTGTGTCTGTGTGTGTGTGTGTCTGTGTGTGTCTGTGTGTGTGTGTCTGTGTGTCTGTGTGTGTGTGTGTGTCTGTGTGTGTGTGTCTGTGTCTGTGTGTCTGTGTGTGTGTGTGGGCGCGTGTGTTTTCTTTTTGAATGATAATACATACATGTTGTTATTTTTATTTTGCAAAAAAAAAGGCTTCCACCACCCCCACCCCCCTTTTCTGTTTTTAATCGTGATTTTTTTTTATTGCCCGTCGGGTGTTTTTTTCCCCCCTTCTCTCTCTCTCTCTCTCTCCCCCCCCCCCACCCCACTCCTCTCCTCCTCCTCCTCCTCTCTCCCCCCCTCTCCTCTCTCTCTCCTCCTTCTCTCGGTGAGTGGCAGAACTGTCAGGTGTCTGTCAAATCCTCTCAGCGTCATGTTATTTTGCTGCGTTCAGAGATGATGATGGTTTAACAGCAATTGCATTTGGTAGTGGAGTTTTCTTCCTTTCTGACCCCCCCCCCCCCACACCCCCCCACACCCCAACCATCCTCTCTCCCCCTTCCCCACTTTTGCAGGATGTGCAGAGTTCAATCTGGATTGTATTTTATTATAATAATTATCATTGTTGCATTGCAAATAACAACATGCAATTCTGCTCCAATCGTTTGATTGAGAAATGATCAGAGACTTTCTATTTTTTTTTTGGGGGGGGGGTTTGCTGTTTCTGGATGGGGAAAAAAAAAGTAGCCCAAAAAGCAGTGGGGGCTGCTTTGCTGCACGTTTGGATGCAAAGATAAAAGCAAATACTATATCTTCCTGTAGTTCAGGCGTGAGGGAAAGCGCACAGTTAGGTCTCACTTTCCAAATCCATTTTGGAAGTTTTTTTTTCCTGCATTGAATCGTACTGACTTCCCTTCAGTTTAGACGATCGGTTGCATGTGTATGTGTCTGTCTCTGTCTCTCTGTGTGTGTGTGTGTGTGCAAAAAAAAAACCCCAACAGAAAACAAAAGTATTTTTCTGTGCTTCCCTTCTCCTCAGATTTTTTTTGCCAACATGATCCGGTTGTGTTTTTTTTCACTGCCTAATAGAGGATTGCCATCCTTGATTTGATGCGTGATTGATCGCCTGTCATCTGGGCTGCCTTTGATCTATTCATTCCTGATAAACATCAATAAATCACTCACCATAGCAACGCACATGGTCCTGACTTTACACTCTGCAAGTCAGGTCACTTACTGCTTTTCAGAAGTTTCTCCCCCCCCCCCCCCCCCCCCCCACACACACACACAAGTTTTAAAGCTACAACCATCCACCCCCCCCCCCCCCTCCCCAATTATCCCTGTATATGTCTATTTCCTCGTTTCTTTGCTCTCCATTCATTTCATGCAAAATGTAATGAGATCTCTGCAAACACTGGGATTGCCTGTGTGTGTGTGTGTGTGTGTGTGTGTGTGTATGTGTTGTTTCTTCTTTTTTTTAAAAAAAAGATGCGGGATCTCAAGTAAAAGATTACCGAAGGGAGTGCATCGAATAATGTCTCTTCTTTAAATATTACAAGGAACGTAGACCTCAACATGGTCCAGAATAGATAATACCCCAAAACTCCCAGCAGAAGGGTCAATGCAGTTGGATTGTGGGTGACACTGAAGGGCTTGTAAAAGACCCGAGCAAACAGATAAACGCAACTTTAAACACAATATTTTTATAAGGGGTTGAAAATTGACACAGGCGTGATGGTGCATGGTAATTCGTTCTGGCAGCTCTTACATAGAAACAAGCCGTCAAGGCGACTTTTTCCAATATTGATTTAATTGTCTCTCTTTTGACAGGCACATACATCATTGGCTTTAATGGTCAATCAAAAGTTGGCAGGCTTAGTGTTTCCATTCTTTCCCGTACACGACATTTGGCATACTTAATCAAAATGCAGGTTTGTAATGGCAATGAAGAGTTGATGACTGAGTCATCTGCTGTTTAAACTGATAGAAAATTAGCTGAAAAGAGGGTAAAATATCTTTTACAGTGGCATTTTAAGCACATTTTATAGATGAAATATGGGTTCATTAGGCTGTCTCTTGGCTTGTCTCACCGTTATAACTTGCATAACTGATGACTTTTCCTGAGAGTATCCGAGTGTCTAAAAATTGATTGTTTGGCAGCCAGGAAATAGTCTGAAGATGTGGGCTGACAGATGTAGTGAGAGTTCAGGCTGATGAGAGGGAAGGGGGAGAAGCGCCTGAGCTAAATCCGAAGCTTCCACACTCAGAAAAGAAATGCTCGGAGGAAATGGTTCCTCGTAAACCAAGAGGCCTCTTAATTATCAACAAAAGAAAAAGAAAAGGGGGGAAAAGTAAGGATGTTTAGCCAGCTTCATTAGCAAAGCCCTAATTATCTGTAAACCTGATGGATTTGTGACAGCTTTAACGATTAATGCTGACAAATTCAGTAAGGTGTCAGCTTCGCAGCCAGTTTGATGTAATCAAGTTGATATTATACAGTCCCCATAGCCTGTAGTGCAGTATTAACTCAATTTGCTGGTGCAGGTGACAAATGGACTTTGCTACCTGACTAATCATGTCACAGAGACAATGCTGCTTTAATGACCTTAGTAATCCTAGTTCTAACGGAGCAATAAAGTCCGAGACTAAAAATTTAGCTGAGTTGCTAGTTTCCTGCGGCTCCGAATAAGTGTTGCAGGTTTTATTTTTTTGATGACGGTAATTATTTTTAACTGTTCACTTTTTTTGCGTTCGTATACGAAGCGTATTTGAGGCTGCAGGTTTCTCGTTTGTTCAGAAAATTAAGGAATGACCAATGCGTTTTGCCCGTTATAATCTCATTCCGCTGGATACAATAATGATAATAGTGGCTATAACATCGAAATTCCTCACAGCGTTTCACAGGTAATTATTGTCAAGTGTAGTGACTGCCTTTTGTAGTTTGGATATCAATTCAAGACTAAAAAGGTTTGGGGTATAATTCAGACTGATGTTCTGTGTTTATAGGAGAGCAGATGTGAAAAATGTGCACTGTCGAAAGGGTTAATTTTATATTGAATACAGATGTGCAAACAAGGTTTTTATGGGGGGAGAGCTTTTTTTTAGTGCCTTTTACTTACAAGCTCAGGTCTTCAGTGGTGTTGAACATGTAGTGGAGAGAGCAGGCGAGGGGACTGAGTCTCACCAGGCCTGTTCTGTGCTTCAGATTGATCTGGAAGTCAACGTACAGGGGTGAGGTGAAACGAACAGAACTGTAGCTTTTTCCCTGCAGTGAGTGGCCCACATAGCAGTTTAAACCACGTTTACAGGGCAACTAAAAGGGCCAATGAACTGGAGTAACTTACCTGTTTTATTCCTGAATGTCAATAAGAGAGTTTTGACAATCTGAATGTATAAAACAACTGGAGAAGTCGGCAAATAACCTTTCACGTTTTGCTAAGTTAAAGACCTATCTGAAAATCTCAGTGCGATTTCATGTGTCGTGTTTCAAGATGCTGTGCTGATGATGAGTGAAATTATACAAGCTTTCCAACTGCGATGAAAGTGGCTGTATATTTTGTGGGAGATTTGTTGCTGTATGACGAGAAGTCGTTAAAATCTGCTAAAATCAGCGAACATTTTAGTAAGCGGGTAGAAATTCCTGATCTGCTGTCATAGAATTTAAACCCATTGGAACAGGTTCATGTTATACCCACCTAAAATTAGCCAGAAAACACGCCTCTTCCCCCCCACCCTCCCCCTGCCATAAAAACATTGAACCCTAATTTATTTTAATAAAATTAGTTGCTCCACTAGTTGTGATTGCCTGCCCTTTCAGAGCTGAAATCCAGACCCCATATTAGTCGGAGGTTTGCGATTGACCTGTTTAAATGGGCTCCTTTTCTGAAGACCCCTGATTTTTTTTGATTGCTGTAGTGAAATGAAAAAGAGAGCATTTTTTAATGACTAAAAGAGCTTCTGATTAGAAACCACAATCACCCTTGCATTGCTGTTCCTTGCAAGTTTGTGAAATCTAACATAGTTTCAGCAGTCTCTTATCTCGGCAACAGATTATGTACATTACACTTGGGATCAGCCTACAAGTTAGTTTACTTACTACTTGTGGTGTATGTATATATTATATATATACATCGGTGCTTCCCCATTGACTGATTTACAGATCACATGCTGCCATGTGTCCTTCAACCACAAGGCATGAGACTGCATATGTCTGCATGACAATTATCAGTTATATAGTTATAGAGTGGCCCTCATCTCTGGGTGGAGTCCCTCACTATGTTTGTGCAGCGCTCAGAGGAAAACAGACCAAATGTATTGAATTCGGAGGCAAGTTCACATGCATGAGATTGAAACTTGTGATATTCTGGTTCAGAGTCAAGATTCTATTGTTTTGTCTGCAAAAACAGTTACTACACTTAACAGTAATTATCGTAGAATGCTTTGAGATGTTTTGATGGGATAAAATGCTTTATGAAGGCATGTTCTTTGTTCTACTGTTTTTAATTAACAGATTATGAGCTGAGACATTTTATCTCATGGTGAGAATGTTTCCACTGTACATTTAACCCATTTTTCCTCCGAAAGCTGCCTCTGCTTTCGGTCTCTTTCCCATGCCCTCCCCCCTTGCAAATACACACCAAATAACAGTAACAATAATAATCCTTGTATTTGATATAGTACCTTATCACGTTGTTGTGACGTCTCAAAGCGCTTCACAGAATATATTGTAAAGTGGATTGACTGTGTATTTTATGGACAAAATGTGGCAGCCAATTGTGCACAGCAGTGTCCCCCAAACAGTCGTGGATTGAGTGACCAAATAATTCAGGGCTATTTGAGGTTAATCTTCAACTGCACTTTTGGC